CTTGTCTTTGGCATTCCCCCCCCTTTTTTTTTTTTTTTTCCCCCCCCTTAGCAAGAGGATTTAGGATCTCCCCTGATGTCCCACAGCTGCAGGGGTTATTCTGGCTAGCTACAAACCTCTCTCCTGCTACGTTTTTAAAGGCTTCCTGAAATCCCGAAGGCTGTGGGGACGGCTGAGGGATTATGAGCCCTCTGGTTTTAGTCTCGCCTCCTCTGACAGCTGCTCTCTCTTTCTCAACACCCTCTCCTTGATTTTTTGCAGAATCAAAGCCTCGGGCAGGCAGTGTTATTTCAGGCTGTGGTGGCTTGGTTGGGGAGGGAGGAATCATGTAGGGTCTCTTGGGGTCCGCTGTGTCCCTCTGACCCCACAGCCGTGCTCATTTTTGCTAGTCCCAGTGGATTTGCTTGGCTCCTGAGTCTGAGAAACCTGTAAATACCCCCTTCTCCTACTGCAAGCATTTCAGGTACCATCCTGCCTGAGAAGGTCCGTGCCCTAGAGAGGAGGCCCCACTCTATACCCTTCTGGTATCCGAAATATGCAGAACATATTTTCTCAAAAATAGAAAGAACAGGAATAGACTGCTGCCTTGCATAAACATAATGTATACATCTGGGGTGAGATGGCTTCCACAGCTGCTGTTGGGCGACTTTGATGTCGACTGGAGACACAGGAGCCTGGTGAGTGTGAACATGGACATTTAAGCTATATTAAGCAGAGAGATAGGCACCCGGGTAAGTGAGGAACACTGAGACAGTGTCTTGTTGGACAGTCAGTATAATGTAACTACAGTGTTTCCTACCTAAATTTTACATTTCTTTTAAAAGAAAGCTACCGGGTTTAGGGATCTAAAGTCTAGGGTCTTGGAGTCAACAGCATAAAAGGGCATGGAAACATTGATACAGTGTTAGTTTATGTATGCAATTCTGTAATAACAGTAGAGATTTCCTAGTGGATCTAATTCCTTTTTCACGTGTGAAATGTGTTAAGTCCAAGAAATCATCTAACGGCTGGCACACATTTAGAGTATATACAAGAATGAAGTATGTGCAAGAAAAAAAGCTGAAGAAAGTGGTTGGTTGTTGATTTGCAGGAGGAAAAAAGAGAGGGGGGAAAAGGGATCTCTAGCTGATCCAGAAACCAGAATGAAACTGCAGCCTTTTAATCTGTTCCCCTGCAGAGACAGGTAGAACAGTAACGCTCGTTAAGCAGAGCAAAGTAACCTCTTCTGGAAGCATTTTAATAAACTATTGTAAGGTCCATGGGCTCCTGCTGTGTTTTGATTCCCTGTTCATGAGGAGTTGCTTTTCACTTGCTTTGCACTTGTGCATCCATGAACACATAGTTATAGGTGGTGCTGGCTCTATAGGTACTATGCTGGCCCTGCCCCGCCAGTTTGTGCAGATGTGAATGCCACCATTAGCGAGCAACCAGGTCAGTGAAGAACTGGGGAGCTGGGGCTTTGTGTACCAGGGAAGCAACATCATTATGTGGGCTATAAATTGCTGGTGATAATTACAACTTCAGTTTCATTTCAGTGAAAAATAATATGAGTTATAAAAATCTAGCAGCAGATACCACAGTGAGAAACGTGGTATTATAATGTTCGTAATCTCTCTGGAGTAGTTATCTGTCTGAATTAGGTTCTACATCAGCATAATTGTCTAATCCCACTCTTGGGATAATAGTTGGACACCAATTTGTGATTCAGTTCTTGCCATTCAAAGCAAGGATTCTTCTCTGGTTGAACCACCCTAGCCTAGGTGCCTTACGCAGACTACTGTTGGAATTAGTCAGATTGCACACATCATTTCATGTCTTGTCCCTTATGCGTTAAGGTAGCCCTTTGTTTCCAATATCCTTTAGAAACTGTTTAAAAATTTCTCCATCTCATTGGGATTTAGGCAAACCACTGATTTGATTTTCCTGGGAGCTGGAGAGGACCTTCAAGTGGGTACTCTTTATACCTGAAGAGCGAGACCGGTGTTTTCTGTGAGGCAAATATCCTATGTTCACCAGACTGGCATTCATGTTTTCTTTCCTAGGTGCATCTCCATTTTTTTTGTGGAGTTCCAGGCATACTTTGGGCAGGATTATGCCAGAACAGCTTGGATCCACTCCATTGTCGACTGTGCTACGATGCTCTGTGGTGTGTATTACCCTTTTAAGACTAATGTGGCTGTGTTTTCTTCAGCTCCATCTGGTTTTAGCGTGTTCACAAGTTGGTGGAGTCAGCTGGGAAAGGTAGATACTGTGGGCTCTCTGGTGTATGGTATATCCAAGCTGCTTCCCCCAGCATAGCTGTGCAGGAAGGGAGTGTCTTCATACTATAGAAAAGAAGCAGAACTTTGTTTTGTCAAATGATCTGAGTTTTCAGAGATGTACTTTTGTCGAGGTCTAGTGGGACAAGTCGTGTTTGAGAGCTACTAACTGAGCACTTGTTTCTTTTGCCTTTTGATTGGAATCATATTTGAGACTTAGCACAGGATGTACATCTTGCCTTCAGATCAAGTCACAGTCATCCTCCTTTTAGCAAACTCGTATGTTTACAAATAGTCTTTTCCCTTAAAAGAAAATTCAGTGTTACTAAAAATGACATGCATCAATGCAGCAGTTGTACCAAATTTCTCATCAGTTTACTTTAAAACTGTGCAGCTAGGTGAAAATCCATGCCCTAATCCTGTGGAAGAGGGTTAATCCATGAGAATTGCTATGAAGGCATAGGGACACAGCTGGAATGAGACACAGCAACTCTCCTGTGTCAGCCGGGTTATATCTTGGGGGGAAAAAAGAGAAATTAGGATAACCTTGCCCTGGCATTGCAGGTAGCGGAGAGTGAGAGCGCTGGTGATGACACCCCATGGTAGAGGCAGGGTGATCTGGGAGCCATCAACATTGGAGAAGTGCAGGAGTGGGGTAGCAGCCCCGGAGATGGTTCAAAAGATGTGAGACGTCTCCTGTTTGGGTCTGGCGCAGAGCCCACAAGGCCAGGGAGGAGTGAGGAAGGACGCCTGAAGTTACTGAGGGCTGAAGTGCAAATTCCTGGTAGGGGAAGGTCTCAGTGTTGTAAGCGTGGAGTAATGAGCAGTGTGGGCTGCCACTGTGGCCTCTCTTGACCCCAAAAACTATGAAGTAGCTGTGTCCTGTAATGACTTTGATCTACTAAAATGGCTGCTGAGAAAGCTAGTGTAAATTTCAGTTTTATCCTGATTTTCAGGAAGATGATTTTTAGCAGTTTTTTGGTGCTCACACCATTGTGATAGGGGGGATGTTGGAAGACCACTCTGTGTAGCTGTGATCACCATTTTCTCCTGCTTGCCTACTGCTTCCTTTTCCTTGATGACAGTTGCAACAGTGTGTGAGGACCTGCCATTAACCACCAGCTTTATTTGTTTCTTTGAAGCCCCGCTTGGGAGTTTAATCAGTAATCATGTATCCTGCCAAGTTGGTATCATGCTAGGAGGCCTGCTTGCATCTACTGGACTAATTTTGAGTTCATTTGCCACCAGCCTGGAACATCTCTACTTATCATTAGGAGTCCTTACAGGTAGGAGGCATTCAGCCCCTTTGTTCCTGCCAGGAAAATAACACGGGAATATTAAAAATGATGGCCCCTTCCTTTCAAGAGGGGTGATCTCTTCTCCATGTCATATTGCCACCAATAGAGATACTCAGACCTGTTCCCTTCATTGTAAAAGACAGACTTTGGCTGCCCCTGTGGAGGCTTCAGCACTCGGTGAGTCTCATACAGCCCAAACGCAGCACACTGCAAAAGCAACTCTTTAACTTCTGTTAGAGAGAGGACTACGGATGAAGTTCTGAAATTATGGGAGGTTAGGAAGGACTCCTGTTGCAGGTGACACACAAAAATGTTTCCTTTTTTGCCTGTGATTTGGGAGGAGTTTGTTATGGTAGGAGTTCTAGACTGCCCCAAAATACTTGCATATTAAAAAAAAAAGTTTAAATCAAAATAAAAGAGTAAATGGGCAGAGGAGCAGCACTGGGTGAATACCTGGTACCTCAGCTGTGCACCTTATTTTTGTCTGCATTACATTCTATTGGAAAAGCAAACAAACTGCTGGTTGGTAGTATTGCTGTAGCAGGTCCTCCGTTTGCGTTCAGGTATGGTGGTAACAAATATCTTTGCTCTCTCCTATCTCTCTGTGTTTGCTGTGCACAGAGGAACTTGTGAGGTGCCCGTGGTCACACTGACATTCCTTCCTCATTAATGCTGACCTGGTAGCCACGGTGATATAAGCCCTTGTACTTGGTCCCCTGCTGTTTTAGTAACAAGTTGGTGGAATTACTGCAGTTCGCATGCTGCCAACAGCTTATTTGTTTAAAAAAAAAAAAAATCCTTCTTGTAGTGCATGTCGCTCCTGTATTACAATGTTAATCTTTGACAAATGTGTTCATACCAAATAAAAAGGCTCCTTGTAACTCGAGGGACTGTGCCACATACCATGCTAATGCCACTGAGGCTTCCTGATGTGAATACCGAGGTGGGAAAGCAGTTGCACTTTGTACATGGAGTTGCAGAGAGCCAGTTCTACAAGCAGTGAACTTCTAGTCTGTGGGGACTGATTAATGGAGAAGTGAACTGTTGGTAAAGGCTAGAGGTGGTGCCCCAACCCAGAGAGGAGGTGGGAGCATAACTGGTAAAGGTCTAAATCCATAAAAGCTGCAGGACTTGAAACTGTGAGGAGTGAAGCAGAGGTGAGATGGGGGAGTAGCAGGGTTCCTTCTAAGAGGTATGAAAATGTTTTCAGCCCCAAACTTTGCATTTCTGCTTTTCACAGGACATTTATCGGCTTTTTTTGGGACCTCTTTCCCCCTGCCAACTCACTAAAAAATAAACGGTGTGTATGCCAAATAGAGTATGATTTTCACAGCTCTCGAGTGATGATGTCTAGCTCGGGGCTGCTCCTCTGGCTCTGCTGCCCACACAGGTCCAACCCCAGCTCTCCGCCTTGCTCCTCCCTTCACCTCCTGAGGGGTGCCAGAGCGGGCTCCCACCGCCCAGAGTCCCTCTAATCCGCTTATCCTGTCCCGGCAGGCTTAGTGCCCGCCTGGCACAGTGCGGCCTTTGAGGAGGACGTGGCAAGCTGCTTACGGCGCCAGGTGATTATCTCCTCTATTGGCGAGTTCTGCCAAAGGCAGTGGGGACCGTTTTACCCTCAGTGTAGGACATGCTCCAAAACCCTAGTCAGGAACTCATTTCTGCGGCTGATTCAGAACTATATGTTTTAGTGTTAGGGCAAGCATTTGATGATTAAAATCTGCTCTCTGGTTCTGCAGCAGAGATCACAATCTTCTTCCCAGTCCAAGAGATGGATCTTACTTGTTTACTAAATTGGGCATGTCTCTGTTTTCTGAGGCTTTTCCCCCCTCTTTACCTTGTAGGCAGGGTTTTAAAACGGTCAGGACTCTAAGCAGCTGCTGTGTGGAGTTTGTTTATCTAACTGAAAAAGGTTTATTGTAGAATATTAGTAACAGAGACAGACTCTTTGTACTGTGTTTCAGAGACCTGAAAATTAATGTTCAGGATTGCAACAGACCGAAACACAAAAGTGGTGCCTCATCAGGACAGCGTGCCCAGTGCCAGCGTTTGCGCAGACCCTGGGGCAAGACCTCATCTTGCATCCAGGAGAGGCTGACACGCTATTTTTCGGATGTTTATTGATTGTCCTTGTTCTTGTTATTAAGTGAACCCCATCACTTCTTTCTGAGCCTTGTTATCGTGGATTAATGAAGATCCGTTAGGTTTGTCAAGTCAGTGACCCTGACAGTGGAAGAAAGGAGTCATCCTGGTTTCTCTTCACACTGTGACTGAGCTGTGTGATACGGAATCAGAAAAAGCTTCCTATTTGTTTGTACTAATGAAAGTAGGTTATGTGGTTTAATTTAGTGTGTTCCATATGTCATGCTCAGTATTAAGCCATCTGCACTGTGCTTCTTTTCTAGGACTTGGGTTTGCACTCTGTTATTCTCCAGCCATCGCGATGGTGGGCAAATATTTCAACAAAAAGAAAGCGCTGGCGTATGGAATAGCCATGTCAGGAAGTGGAATCGGTACCTTCATCCTGGCCCCCGTGGTCCAGCTCTTAATCGAGCAGTTTTCCTGGCGTGGAGCTTTACTCATCCTGGGAGGTTTTGTTTTAAACCTCTGTGTCTGTGGTGCCTTGATGCGGCCTATTGCTCTTAAAGAGGACCGTAAAACTGCTCCTGAGTTTCTTGAACAGGATTATGTTCCCGAAGCACAGAAACGAGACTTAAAGCGAATGTCCATCTGTCCATCTTTAATCAAAGTGTGGTCTCATGAATGTTTATGCTACTGTTCATGGAAGGAATATGACTTTTTACTGATGCCAGGCTTCATGGTGCTGGCAGTGTCGGTTTTATTTATGGCATATGGCTGTAGCCCTCTTTTTGTCTACCTAGTGCCTTATGCTTTGAGCGTTGGGGTGAGTCATCACCAGGCTGCCTTCCTCATGTCCATACTTGGTGTCATAGACATCATTGGTAATATCACCTTTGGATGGCTAACAGACAGAAGGTAATGGCTTACGGCTAAGCAAGTATAAGCTTTAGCTGGTGGGAGGCTGGATGCAAGTGAAGTGTAATACATGTAAAAGTTAACATTACGGACTTTTTCTGTAGGATGTGTGACTTAAAAAAAAAAAAAAAACAAAAAAACAAAAAAACAAACAAACCAAAAAACCCAACACAGTCTAACTTTCAGAAATGCTTACTATTTAATGTTTTTGTCTCTTTCGAGTTTGTTCAATTCTGCTGGTTTCATTTCTTTTTTCCTGAAGAAATGACGTGTTTGTGCAAAGCTCTTGCATTTGACAGTGGAAATGTAACCCCCTGCATGAGGTATGTTGAGCGTGATCCTCTGTACCTGGTTCCTAGAGGGTCTCGCTCTACTTCCTCTGCCTTTCCATCTCTTTTGTGCTGCTGGGGAGGCACAGAAGTCATGGAAAAGGGTCAAGGGTCTGGCCCAACACTGTCAGGCATATACTCAGAAGAACTGGCCTAAAATTGTTACACGTTTTCCAGTATATGAGAACTCACCGTGCTTTGCTAACTCAGCTCACTCCAAACATCTGTGTGCAGCATCTGTAACATCAGTAGAGACTGGCTAAATTAAGAAGGATTTTGAGTCTAAAGGATGCATTCTTTGAGCGTATTCAGTTTGTGGGAAAAATCGATCATTGGTTTTGTGGGGCAGAGAGAAAGGGAATTGCCATCTCACTTAGCTCACGCTAACTCCAGTGTTCAAGGTCTGATGCGAAGGATGACAGCTAAGAGAGGTATACTGTAATATTTTTTGCATAATATTGGGAGCACCTTGCTGGACTGGGATGTAAAGCCTGATGGAATACTGCTTTGAACACTGAAACTTCACTGGGCTGCAAAATCCTGACAGCGGAGTGGCTCCCCTCACTAGGGACAGCCCAAAGAACATGGCAGGCAGCATGGGCTGCTGCTTACCAGATGTTTCTGCGGCCGTAGGTGGGCAGCTTTCCCTACCTGGGCTCGTCAGTATTGAGCTTTTCATCTTGAAGGCTGTGTAAGAAAACGGACTTAAATTTGAGCTATATAAGAGAGGGATCAGTATTGAGCTTTTCATCTTGAAGGCTGCGTAAGAAAATGGACTTAAATTTGAGCTATATGAGAGAGAGAGAGAGACTGAAGTGCTGCATGCCAGGGCATAGAAACTGAGATGCTGTGTCCAGTGATAATCTGTTTCTTTTCCATTTTGAAATTTGCAGGTGTCTGAAGAAGCATCGGCACTTTTGCTACCTCTTTGCTGTGGGAATGGATGGCCTCTGTTGTCTTTTCCTGCCAGTTCTCCAAAAATTCCCCTTGCTTGTGCCGTTCTCATTTACCTTTGGCTACTTTGATGGAGCCTATGTAACGCTGATCCCTGTCGTGACAGCAGATGTAGTGGGAACTTCTTCCTTATCATCAGCACTGGGTGTTGTGTATTTTCTGCATGCCATACCATATCTAGTGAGCCCGCCTGTTGCAGGTCAGTTCACAAATGACTTTCCTATAATCTTATTGCTACTTCAGATTTACCTGTTGGTGTGATGTAAAAGGAGAGGAATGACAGCAAATGCACACTGAATGTGGAGGTAGCCCCTGGGCAGGGAAACAACACACCTAGACCTTCATAAGACTCTAGATCCCACTTAAACCCTGTCTTGTTGGGATTATTTCTATATATAGAGCGAGCTGAAATTTAAAAAACAAAACAGTATGGAATGGGCCTTCTAAGAACTGTTACATCACCACTTCATGTAGTTCAGAAATTGTGCAAGTAGAAGGAACAAAAGATTTCACTGTGAAATTACACGATTTTGAAAATGTAACCTAAAGAGAGTTTCATTCCAAGGTTGGGGTTTTTTTTGTGTGCAGAGGACTTGATCTTTTCATCTCCAGACTGCTTTGAACAGGTGGGTGAGTCAGCTTTACTACTGTTTGGTCACAGGCTCATCACTGTAATATCTAACCGTCATTTGCCCCATCGGTTCCATTACAGTGAAGTAAGGATGAGAGCTGTACTCCTATTATTCTTTAGAAAGACCTTCACGCAGTTTTGAGTATTGTGGAAGGACAGAGATCTTTTTCAAACAGCCATGTATATATATGTCTTGCATATTTTGTTTGCTGTTCACATCAATTCCCAATTAATCTCTGTTTCTGAAGCTTTTAACTTAATTTTCCATAGCAAAAAATATTGCAAAATGGAATTCTTTTAAGTGACGCATGAGCCTTGGGCATAACTCACTAGATGTTTCTGTATGAGGATCTCATGCACACAGTATTTAATCCCAGGGCTCTCTAAGCATGTCTACAGACTGCCAGTTAAATCCATGCAGTTGAAAGATGTTTGTTTAGTATTGTGGTGATGACTGCTGTGCCTTTTCTCATGGGTTTGATCTCTAAACAAAAGCCCATAAAAATCTTACCTGTCTGCTGAGGACAAATCCCTGCCTGCCCCAGGAGGTAAAAGTATAGTGACGTGATGTCAACCCATGTTGTTTGATTACATTTATATCTGATAACTCCAGAAGTTTATAAAACTCCTGTTGATCACAGGATTTGTAAATTATCAGAATTTTGGTGGGCCTTTAAAAACCCACGATTTGTTTTCCTACAGGTTGGCTTGTGGACACAACTGGCAGCTATACTGCATCATTCCTCCTGAGTGGATTTTCTATGATATTTAGTTCAACGTTATTGTGCTTTGCAAGCCTAGCAAAGAAAATCAAAAGAACGCATTTGCGGTCGCTCACCAATGATACTGGCACCAAACAGCACATCTGGACAAACGGAGCAATAGCTTATTCTGTCACGGCAGAATTAGACCAAAAGGATGTTGAATTTTTGGCTGCGGATACAAACAGCTACAGCAACAGATGACAAGTGCCGTCAAGATTCAGCACTGCACAGCCATGACTGAGATGGAGGTGGCTCTGTAGTGTTACGCTGTTGAAGATATTACTCCTGTGAAACAAGGCATCTCTCAATTAGATTTTTCTGTCATGTTTTAGTTGGCTAAACAGCAACAGTAACACCAAGTTAATGCAGTAATAGAAGAAAGCTAGCCTGAAAATAGAGAGAGTTTGTAGATACAAATGTTCACAGATTTATTTGAAACGCCGTATGTCAACTCCACAGGTAATCTCAAAGATGCTAATTGGCTATAATCAGAAGAAACCTATAAAGTAATCAGTCACCAAAACTGAACAATAAAGTTTAAATTATTTCAGAAATAGTATTAATGAAATAAGCTTTTTGGTGTTCTGGGCTATTATGTTTCAATGGACTAATCACACACACACCACCAGAAAACCTCCACATTTATCAGTCTGCATTAAACTCTTTGCAAATAACTGTTTCAAATGCCAAAGGCTTTTTTTTTTTTTTTTTTTTTTAA